ATATATATATATATATATGCATACACACCTACATATTCATACGCCTAAAAGATACATACATACATACATACATACATACATACATGCATACATACATACATACATGCATACATGCATACATGCATACATTACATGCATTACATGCATTGAATACATTACATACATTACGTACAAACATAAAAACATACATACATACATACATACATCCATGCATGCATGCATATGCACATACACACATGCGTAAATATACTATACTGATACTGTTCACACTGCTGCTAGGCATTTCAACCAGTTGGTTCAGGTCAATGGACGAAGATGTAGAATGAGTAAGCTACGGCGGCACTTGAGCAGTGCATGAAGTCCACGACACCAACAAACAAGAAGGGTCCCCTCGACAAAACGGTCAACAGATGCATGCAATGCCGCTTCACTCATCACTGCCTACTTGTGCAGATTCACACGAAAACTAGAGGAACCCTCAACCCTAAACCCTCGACGACTAGAAGTACCCGTGCCCCTTCCGGATGCACTTGCAACGGATGCGGCTCCCGCGGCGCCGGCGCCAGCCTTGTGAACGACCACTTAGATATTCTGCCCTTGCCGCTTGGTCCGCAAGACTTGCCCACAGCTTCACGTCCTGGTACATGCAGCCTGTGCTCCACGTGGGGCTTATGATCATCTTGGCGTCTCGGGTTAGGGGTTTAGGGTTTCGGATTTAGGGTTTAGGGTTCGGGGCCCCCCAATGCCGAGACCCGGACGGCCTTCAATGCTGAAGCCCACAAGCACTTCAGCCCTAAGCGCCCAAACACCGAGTTTCGGGGTATATTCTGCAACAACGGTCTAGGGTTAAGGGTTAAGGGTTTACTACCAACCCTGGAGCTTAAAGCCTAAACCCTAAAAATACAATAACCGAAGGGAGCAGATTGGTAGTAAGCCATAGCTGGTTACGCAAGCCCCTTTCGTAAGGGTACGTAGTTCGGAGGTCTGCTTGCATCTAACCACGACCACCCGAATCCTGGCACCCCAAAATACCTAAACCCGTACACCGGCACCAAAAAAGCCTAAACTCGTCACCCCTGAACTTGAAGCATGAGGGTTTAGGGCTTTTGCTGAACCCAAACCCCGAAACCTATATATAAGACGAGCCGCTGGACGCAGGAACGAACATCTCACCGCCCCAAATGGCATGAGCAGGGAATTTCTTCGACTTGGTACCCCATTTTTTCTCGTGAGGCCGTGCGCCGGTGTGGGGGTTCAGGCAGGGCTTTAAGGGTTTAGGGTCATGGTCTAGGGTTAGGGTTGAGGGTTTCGGGAGAAGCAAGGGTAGACCTGAACCACCAAAACCTACCGTTTCCAGGAAGACATAACGGGACATCATAGTCAAGAAACGTAGGTTTTTAAGGTACACGCTGGCTCCATTTTCTCTGAGTTAGCGCTATCCGACCTTCTTCGAGTTCTCACACTCAGCATTGCAAAACGCGCCCTTCTTGCACGCAGCTCAGATTCAGCATAGGATTTAGGGATATACAGTTCGAGCTGATTTTATGTTCGGCTGCCGATCTTTCACTGCAGAGACTCTTTCACGACGTGCTCTGCTGAAAGTTACAAGAGAAGCCACATGGGAATCTCCAAAAATTACGTAGGGTACCTTATTTTGGGGTGCTTATAATGGGGATCCTATAATTTAGGCTACTATATTAGGGTCCCTATTTTCGGAAACCCCCACATGGCTTGAGCCAGCTGTGAGGCGAGGCCCGGCCAGCTCTCGTGTCCTAGACCCTAAACCCTGAATGCTGAACCCTAAGCCCTAAACCCTAAACCCTAAACCCTAAACCCTAAAAACCCTAAACCCTAAACCCTAAACCCTAAACCCTAAACCCTGAATGCTGAACCCTAAACCCTAAACCCTAAACCCTAAACCCTAAGCCCTAAACCCTGAACCCTGAATGCTGAAACCGAAACCCTGAACCCTAACCCCTGAACCGGTGCTCCGGAGGACCCAATCGACGAATGGAGCCCGTAAGCTCGCCTTGTCTAGAATCCAAAATCCAGAGGTTCTCAGTACCTATAGGGGGGGGGGGGGTGTGGCGGGATATATACTGAAACTATAGTTGTTGTTCCGATTTTAGGAAAAAACCCTACATTCTACTACCTCAGCCCAATCCCCCTTCTTTACCGTACAACCCTTTTGTAGAACTGTTAGGCACCCTCTAAACCCCTTAAAGCCCCTAAGCTGGCTATTTAGGACCTTTTCGGACATGGAAATCCTTCGTAGTAATACCACCATGGCTTCTGCCTTGCTGACCACGCGATGGAGATGAAGAGTTTAGGGTTTAAGGTTTAGGGATCAGAGTTTAGGGTTTAAGGTTTAGGCTTTAGGGTTCAGGGTTTGGGGTTCAGGGTTTAGCGTGGTGTAGGGCTTAATAGATATTGGTCGTGATGGTAATGATGATGAGTTTGTTGTGAGGCTCATGGCGGGAATTTGTATGCCTGAAGCTCTGCGTAGCGATTGTTCTTGTTGTTGTTGCTGTTGCTGCTGCTGCTGCTGCTGCTGCTGCTGCTGCTGCTGCTGCTGCTGCTGCTGCTGCTGCAGTCGTGCTTCTGCTGTTACGGCTGCAGAAGACGATAAGCGAACCAACCCCCTCAATGGTAAGATTCTGAACATGTGTACCCCTGCTTGACATGAAAGGGAGGCCGCGGGAGGCCTTGCATGCAAAACAAACGGCCATGACCAAACCACTGTAAACCCAGAAGAACACCTTAGGCCCTAATCCCCCGAGAAACTTTAGGAGCCCTTTCGAAAATCTCACGGTCTGAAGCCAAGCTAGAAAATAGAAGCATAAAGCATGAACTGCAAGAACTACTAGCTATAAACTTTCCTGCTAAAGACAACATGTGAAACTTAAGCCCTAAACCCTAAACCCCAAACCTTAAGCCCAAGACCCTGAGCCCTTAACAACCCTGAATCCTAAAACCCTAAAACCCTAAAAACCTAAACCCTAAACGTCTGAACCCTAAACGGCCCTAAACCCTAAAACCCTAAAACCCTAAAACCCTAAAACCCTAAAACCCTAAAACCCTAAAACCCTAAACCCGAAGCCCTGAACAGCCAGGAAAGCG